TCGTTTTAGCTCCGTTTTGTGTTTCGGCAGATACCTTCTTCAGCTCCATATTATCAGTCTCTAACACCTCCTGTCTGCTGGGCTAAGAGGGTACAGTGCTGTCTCTCGAAACCATGCTGATGAGAGCAGTGAGGCCCGAAGCAGCAGGTGGAGCAGGTGATCTACAAATTGGGATGTTGGTGGTTTGATCCCTGGCTGCCTTAGTCTGCATGTGAAAATATCAGTGGGCAAGATACTGAAGCCCGAGTTGCTCCACATGTGGACTTTGAGTGTGCGCATGTCAGATAGAAACAGAAAGAGTGCTTGTATTAATGGGTAATTGAGACATGCTGTGTAAAGCAATGAGCGCTCAAGTTGGATAGAACAGCGGTGTACAAGAATCAGTCCATTAACCATTCACCTTAACATCAGTTAAATGTTGTTTAACTTTTGTTTAGCCCTGATGAGCACCAACCCTACCCTATGGTATCAATGTGGTGATCTGTTATAAAGGTCCTCTCATTTCTTCCTTAAATGCAGAGTTAGGGTTGCCAAAGATCATTGGTGTGGACTTTGACCTCAGATGGTTTGTTCACTTGTGATTTTTGGTGTCTGATTCCATTTGTACCATTAACATATATGAACAACAAACAAATAAAAGCTACTTATTAGCGCAGCCTTAAAGAATAGAAATGAAGTGATTTCCTCAGCAGTGATCCAGAATCTAAAGGAAGTGATGCGCATGAGATGCAAATCAGCGCTGACTGAATGGAGGTTTTAAGTATCATGAATTGAGTTTGACCTGCACCTCATAACCATTTAGTGTGCCCAAACTGTTGCAATAAACTGCTGCTCATTAGTAAGGCCTACATGTGGAAAAGTGCAGGATGTAGATTCTTCTGGTTCCTTCATTGTATAACGCAGCCAGAAAGGCCTCACCTAAGGGCCGTTGCTGCAACCAGAGCCTCGCTTTCCTTCATCTAACCTCGTGCACAGACACAACGGCTCAACAGACCGCACGAGCACGAACCTTATCAGCAGGCAAAAGAAGTGCCCCTGCTTCGTACCAGAGCTGACAATTAACTGTCGCGCAATGACTGGATTTCTCTGATAACCTTTTATTTGTTCCGCCTGCACCTCGCCACTCCTGCAATCTCTCTCCATACATGTCCAGCCGGGGAGATATGAGCTGAGGTGAGCTCAAATCTCTTCCGACATATTGTACATTATGTCACATCTATGTTGATAAAGGCCCACTGTGTGTGTTAATCTAGGCCGCTGCGCTTCCCCAAACACACCACAGTTTTGCTGTGAGGCAGTCCAGCGTGACCCAAATGATCTTAGTTGTCTCAGGCTGACCTCAGCAGTAAATCAGAGAGGTCATTAGGCCATTGACTGCATGCAGGTAAATGTGATGAGAGACACTGCCCTCTGGTGGCTAAGTGAGATACCAACGTCGAAATCTTTATCTGCAAGAACATGAAGAGAAAAATGGCTGGCTCCAATAAACCGGACACATTCAAAATCACTTAAATCAAGTTTCGTCTCCGTTTAGATGCTCGGTTTGAACTTCAGCAAGTGATCTCAATCATGTCCATGTTCCTAAACACGTGTGGCCGATTAGATATTTCAGTTAACGAGCAGTTGAACAGGTGTGCCTAATAAAGTGACCAGTGAGTGTATGTTACTATATTGAATATTAATATAATGTATCTTTGTTCACATTTAATTCACTAGCTGTGATTTGGAACAATGTGCAGGAAAATCTACATATAAATACTTTGGTTCTCCTGTTAGTTCATTCTTGTGATTAATCTTACTGTGAAGCGTTCTGTCTTGAGTGTTTTGGGCTTGTGAATAATCTTTCTTACTGCAGAATGATGGACTTTGTTTCGAAATGGCCTTAAAACTCTTCCCAGATCAATGTGCAGCATCAGGATCATGTTTTTCCTTCTTGACTTTAACACAATCAGATGGATTGCTCCAGACCAGCAAACTGTCAAAACTTTGGTCAGTCAAAGCTATGTGTTCATACTTGCTGATCATCAATCAAGTTTGATTGATCAGCACTTGGCTGCTACTTACCCCTTTCATTTTCAAGGAACCAGCAAGTCTATACTTACATTTTCACTCACTGCTTCTACATTTTGGGTGATTTTTTTGTTAATAAAATAATGAAGCTGGGTATTAAGTCATGTTGTAGTTCATCTAAGGCTGTATTTCCCGAGTTTTAAGACTTTTATTATATCCTGATAGATAAAACCTCATACCGCAAGGAGGGTTTACTTTTATATGAAATGCATTTATACATTACAGATAACAAATAACATAATTTTAGTTTTAGTTTCTACATGGACAAAGCATCATTTCATAATGAATTTCCTCAATTAGCTCTGAGCGCCGTTTAAATTATAGAAATTAATTTCCTATAACATTATTTTTTTAATGGCACCTGAAAGAAAAGAAAAAGGAAACTTTAATCAAAAGCTACCAAATAAATAAACTGTTAAGACATTAAAAACTAATCACACAGAGACCTACTGCTATGTACAACCTTTTATTTTTGATTTGCAAAACATCAGACAAAAATAACATTACATAAACACCAATTTATAATAGAAAAAGAAGATCTGAGACAAAAGATAAATTGCAATTACATTAGAATTTAGGTGACTTTGATAATTGGAGCCATATGATGCTGACCTACAGAGGCAGTTTATGGCTAGTAGCTTGATCAGTATACATGTGTTACAAACATTATATTAAGTGCTTTCGTTGGTTCAGGCATTGAAATTCAACGTGGCATGGATTTGGGTTCACAATGCAGGGAAAGGATTCAATACCAAATTCAAACTGATTCCTTATTTTTAAAAAAATAAAAATAAATTAATCATCAATACACGTGGCTGCCAGAGTACCAATTAAGAAGCCAATCGCACACTTGGACAACCTTCCTGCTCAAATTAAGCCGGGGAACATCTGAAGCCAGCTTTGTTAACACCCTCTCCTGCATGAAAAGGGTCATGTTATGGCACACAGCTCAAAGTTGATGTGACCACAGCGTTCCTCAGTATTGACTGATCAATAAAAACTCTCTAATTTTATTCAGTGTACACCTGAAGCAGTTTGACATGAAAGCAAATAAAAAGAAGGAATAAAGAGAGACAGCGAGAATTAGAGAGAAAAGAAAAGTTGGCTTGAAATCACCAAAAGTGAGCAGTTGCTCCTTAAATATGATACTCGGGTCTGAATGGAATACC